GCGTAGCCGTACTTGTGTCTCTGATCGCCGCCAGTCAAGCCTCAAAACGACCGTGGCGTCACCTACCCGCACAGGGGAAGGGAACGGAAGAGTCATCTCGACTCTGTGCGAAACCGCCCGGTACATTCCTCGTCCAGTCTCGCGCTCGCATCTGGCCTGGCCGTCGTCACTACAGCCGGGACAAGACGCACCTCTTGAACATCCTCCGACACATGGGCTTTTTTCTCTCTCATTCCGGAAGAAGCCCTACAGCCCTCTAGGTATCACAACTGTCCAAATGGCCATTGACACCATCTTACGTCACACGCCCATGAACCCCGACATTCCCATCTGTGTTCTTGCATCCGCGGCCTCAGGAAATGCGGACAATCAAACCCAACCTCCTGGAACCGGATAAGCGAGAACAAGAGATAGGAGGGAGAGAGATGGAGGGATTACCTCATCACCACCCCACGCGAGCCGCCTCCGTCACAACACCAGTGACGCCGTCCTCCTCTCAGTCTCACGTCGTCCAATGCCCAGCTAGCCCGAATCAAGGAACCATCCCTTCAGCTCTGTCATCACCAGTTACACAAGAAATCCAGGCACTGAACATCGCATCCCATCCCCAACTGGCAACGAGTATTCCAACAGTACCAACAGCGAGTATTCGTACGTGTGTGCACGTAGCCTGCCCGGATACCGGCACCACTCCCAATGGGCCCTGCAAACGGGTTCAACGGGGACCAAATCCGAACCATGCAAAAAAATAATTACAGTGAACCGTGTCAGTGACCTCAATGTCCAAACTCCAAACCTTCAAGGGGTCCTGTCCACCCCCCCTCGGAGAACTAGGCTGATCTCACTCACCGAAGCCCCTCCGGCGAGATTGCCTTTTCGGCACCGAAGGGAAGCAGGCCAACGAGAAGAAAAAAAATTGCAACTCTGTCTGTCTGTCACTGGACAACGATCAGGGTTCCATGCGATAAACCGCGACACTGCGTAAACGCCGTAAAGACTATGCGAATCCGGCAGGCAGTCATGCTTTACTGTCGTGTGCAGCAGCACGACAACAGAAAAAAAAAATGCCATAGTTTATTTTTGACAGGATGGTAACTTTCGTGAACCTCGTCTACCACTCTCGCCGCAATCTCGGCGCTGAAGTCCCAAATGGCCCAATCCAGCAACCATCAAAAAAACAAAAACCCACAGCTGCCAAAACTCACAGTCCACTTCCCTCCAGTGCCTTAGGTACCGTATGCCTCCACAGAACACCGGACACGCCTCTAGTCCCGGCGCCGCCTCACGCGCTACTGCCAAAACCATGCGATGAACGACCCAAAAAAGCCCACGACGGCGTCCGCCAACAAAACACAAACCAACGCTGCCAAAAACTTGCTTGCTTACCTACTAAAGGCCGCGCCGGCGTCCTCGGAAGAGGCTCCAGGTCTCTACTACTGCGTAACTGGTGCTGCGTGAAAAGTGCCCACCGATCCCCGCCAGCGGCGCTGCTTAACAATTAAGTCCGGCGCGGCGGGATTCGGTCTTGACTCGACTGAAATACGGTATCTGAATAGTAGCTGTCTGTCTGGCTGTGTAATCCAACGGCGTCCGGCTCGACCGAACAAGCTGATGTGCCCCCCCCCCCTTCTCCACTAAAACTCGGGTCAGACAAAGAAAACTTCAATCACCGGGGAAGCGGTAGATGCAGAGACTAGCACGACTAGGTAGAGAGGACGCGTGGGAAGATGCCGGTAGCGTGCATGATCTCGATTTCTATCCAAACCCAGCTGGCGTACCAGCTTGTGTGTCACTGTTCGACACCCCTCCAAGTGCATTCGTGCTCTATCCGTACAAACACAGTATAAGCGGAGAAGAGGAACAGTCAACAGAAGAAAATGCGGCCGTGAGTGTACATGTTGGTCGCTAGGACAGTGCCTGCAACGCGGATGGATGTATATCCCGCCCTTCTATCCAGACTCTTACAAACGCCAAAAACCCATGCTTATGTTATGCTCCATGCTACCCGTCTAAATGATCTGTCCCACGGCCTCCGAAGCTGACAATCACAGCGAGCGGCTCTCAGCATGCTGCGTTCCACAACTCGTGTACCAGCATCCCAACAATGACCGCGGCGCCAGGGAGGCTCGAAGTCGGCCCTGACATGCGACTGTCCCAAATCTGCAGCGCAAAGTGACACGCCACGGCCAGCTCGCCGATGCCCAGCGACGTGTTGATGATGGAGGCCCAGCTGGGCGTCGGCTCGCGGCGCATCGTTCTGATCGCGTCCCCGGTCAGGTGGATGGCGGTAGCCATCGTCAGCATCATCGCGCCGAGCATCACGTCCCGGCTATACGGATATGACGCAGACGTCGCGTGGAGCCACGCGGCGAGGAGGATCGCCAAGGTGAAAACGTCCAGCAGGCGGCTGTTCCGCAGCCTGGCACTCCTCGCCAGCGACCCCGCGTTCGCTGCCTGAGCTTTGCGATTTCTTGATTGAACGTTGCCGTGAACGTCTTGGTCCTCATCGTCTTGGCTGAGGCTGAAGCTTGTGTTGAGAAGATCGGCGAGTGAGCTGCGCGGATCGGTGGGATTGGATGCCGAGGGCGCGAAGAACGTGGGCTGCGCAAATGCCACGTCCTGTAGACCCTCCTTCTGGGCACCTGACGATGACTTGGCCGCTTGCATGCTACTCGTTGCGAAGATGGACTTCCTCTCAGCCGGTTTCGTCAAGAGCGGTTTTGGCCCGTTGCGAAGGCGCTGTGCGGGGGCGATCGGCGCGGGAGGCACCTTATACCAAAACGGGCTTGAATTTGGACCTTGCTCAGGCTGCCCGAATACCTGGTTCGGCGCCTTTGGAGGTCCAAAGTCGTTGAAAGCTCGGTGTTTGGATTGTGTAGGGGACCAGTCCATTTCCTCCGAGTATTGCACCTGAGACTGCGGCACCTGCGGTTCAGGGGTGCCAAATCCAAAGCTGCGGTTGCCTACCCTATGCTGCAGCTCCCGCTGGAAGAGCGCTGGCGAGCTGGAGCCGACGCTCGTTGGACTCGGAGGGATGCCTGTTCCCGAACTTGACTCTGCCAGAATATCGTCAAGCAGGTTCGACATGGTTTTTGTACCCTCCTCCTTGCGTTGTGTTCGCGGTCTGGGTGGGGATGACGCAGGGGTGCCTGTTGCTGGTGTTCCTGTTGCTGAGGAGGTCGTCTGAAATAGAGGAGTCGTATCGATACGGACTGATCGTTGTGCGAGGACATAGATCTATATTCATGTTAGTGCCTTTCCTTCGACAAAGTGAGTCCTTCTCTACTGACCGCCATCATCAACAACGCCATCAGCCCGTGAAGGCTCATCTGTGCGCTCTCCTCTGTCGAACGACCACCCTTCATCTCTGTCATTTTCATCGCCATGAATCGCGTGAAGAGAATCAAGCCCTGGAATGTGTACCACTGGCCCAACCCCAGGATATGGCGAGAAAAGCCACGGAAGACCTGCGCGAACTTCGGATTCCACCACACGCTCAGCCCATTCGCCCAGAGACTCCAGTAAATCAGTCTCTCAGGTTTGGGCAGGACCAGTGTCAGCGCCAGAGATAGCCTCTGAATCCATGTTGATTCTGCATCAGGGTCTCGCAGAGGTCCTTCGTCCTGTCCTGCGAAGACGACCGCAAGGGACGCAAGATGCCACATGTACTGGCACACGATCCCGCCCAGCCAGAGCCACCTCCCAGCTTTCGCTGATACATCTAACGGCGTAGTCTTCTTGACCGTGCGATTCTGTCGACTCCTGTCCATCATCCGTCGCAAGTGATCCGTCCGCGCCGTGTAACCGGCCTGGTCCAGCCTGGCGTGGACTTTCGGTTCGCATTCGGCGCATATCTGGGGGTATCGTTGCTCGAGGCCCCTCCGGAATTTGTACATATTCCTCTCAAGCTCCGCATATTCGGGATGGTCTGGGTCGTCGGGAAGGTACTGCGCTAGGGAGCTTGTGAATAGGTGCTGGTTCTTCAGACATGTCGCGCAGAAGATGCTTTGCGAAGGGCTGGAGAAGTCGGGCGATTGTGACCGTGGGATCGCATAGGTTGTTGGGGCCGGTGTAGACGTCGTCTTCGCGACAGGGGGATCGGTGATGTCGCCATGCTAAGAGCAATTTCGTCAGATGAAGCCACACCTCACGATGCGCCAGGTCGACTCACCTCGTCCAGGTAGTTGGTCGCATCGCAATGTAGACACAGGAACTCGCGGATGAAGCCGTCGTAGCGCGTCGAGGAGCGCTTTCCGCAGTAGAAGCAGGTCAGCAGTTTGCGCCCTCGTAATTGTGCCATTGCTCTTTGAGGTGGGAGGCTCCTCGGCCTGTACAATGCATTTATGCAGGCTGGCGGGACGCGGTGTTTGGCCGATAATTGTTGTTCGCTGGGAACTTTCGACGTTCTGCCGGGCGGTCTGGCGGGCGTTGCAAAGGAATGCAGGGGAAAGGGCAGGGATCCCAGGGAACCAGCAGGAACATGAGGTCATTCCTCTTTGCGTGTCGGGAACCTCGTCGTGGCCTGGACTAACAGCTTGCGCTAGATGGCAGGTGCCATTGTCCAAAATTGGCATTCTGCAGGGACTTTCGAGGCTTCCCCACATTCTTCCAGCAACAATCTTAGAGGCTCTGGACCCTGCACTAACAGCTGATGGAGGCACATCGACACTGAGCGTTTTTCACCTGAAATCACCTCTCCTTTTGGATCTCAATAGAAGATCCAGAGTCAGTAGGAGAGGACACCTACAACTATCATTGTTCCCTTAATTCTTTGTTCGAGTCTACGCTAGGATCATGAAAGTCCTGTAGTACGGTAAATTTAGCGAATTAGACGGTTGAGGTATACTTCAAACCAGAAAGCTCCTACCAGCAAATAAAACACGTTACTCATATATCCATCTACCTAGACACAAACTCACGACGATCCACCAGTACAGCCATCTCACAGAAAGGAATGGTGGCGAGCAACCAGCTGTCCTGATACCTCGAATTACCTCAAGATGGCAAAAGATGGCAAGCCCGCTGCATCAACCCTGCTTTTCATCGTTGGGGCGCTCACCACCCTTGCATTGAGCCTGGTCATGACATCCTCCTGGAAAGCTACCCTGGCCACCGTCTTCTTGAGTGTCGCCTCACTCCTTATTTTCGTCACGGTAAATACTCATAATTGCTCTGTTCCAGAAATACCATCAGCTAATTAGCTCCAGACCCGCCATCTGCAAATTCAACGAGGCCATCTTGGACGCCCAGTGGAACTCTCCAATGCCGTCAATCAAGCCAGCTCAGGGGTTCTGAGGGGAGCGTACTTCCTGGTCGTCCTTGGCTCAGGCGGCCACACGAAAGAGATGCTCGCCATGATGGAGATTGGGTTCCCCCATGTTCCAAACATGCACCGACGGTATCTCATCTCTAGTGGTGACACCATGTCCCTAAAGCACTTGGACGCATTCGAGCAGGATCTCAAGGCTACGCATGGCGAGCAGCAGGCTGGCACCTACGACTTCCACATCGTTGCCCGAGCCCGCAAGGTTCACCAGAGCCTCCTTACGACTCCTTTTACCGCCATCCTGTCTGTCATCCAGATCTTCCCGTTGCTTCTGTCGTCCCCCTTTACCGGCGCACGGAAGCGACAACAGTTTCCCGACATCATTCTCACCAATGGACCCGCGACGGGATTCATTGTCGGGTTGGTTGTGTATTTGCTCAAAATGTTTTGCGTCATCCCCGAAGATACCGCACAGGTCCTGTTCATCGAGTCGTGGGCCAGGATCCGCACTCTCAGCCTGACAGGCAAGCTGTTCCATCGTACTGGCATCGCAGATATGCTGCTCGTACAGCACGAGAAGGTTGCCAATGCATACGGTGTCGCCAATGCGGGTTGTATGGTCGTGGGAAAGAGGCAGACTTAACCATGCTGGCTAGGAAGCAGTCACCAGTATTCAAAGACGGTAGAAGATCAAGAAGAATATAGACTTGACTTTCTGACTCAGACGACGACTATCGCTGATATCAGCGTCAGTCCGATTCAGTGACCCCGCTATGGCTGAGACGCCCGGTGACGGGCCTGAGAACGCAAATCCAAAAGTAGAGACATCATGGTCACCAGTCGTTATGAGGCATGCCATATTATACAGATTTTTTGTGGTACATGTGCTTACAGGAGCCGCCGCGCTCTGCTTACGCCTCCGCAACCTCCGCCTCGGCATCTGCTTCTACAGCAGCATCATCAGACTTCTCCTCCTCGCCAAAGGTAGAGTAGCTAGCTGTACGAGATGCCTCGAGCAGAAGCGCGCGCTGGCTGGCCCATCCCTTCCATGTCTCGAACTCCTTGTCCTCCAAGTCCTGGCCGATCTGCAGCTTGTTCTTGCCAAAGTACGCACCCACATGCCTGGCCTCCTCGCGGGCGACACGCTTCTCAATCTCTTCTTCCTGACGCAGAGCGTAGAGCTCCTTTCTCGCGGTATCGTACGCCTTGTCCTTGGACATGCCGTGGCTGTGCATGAAATATAGCTGGCGCTGGACGACACTGGGTGGGCGTTAGCTATGAAATGATGAAGCATCACCTGATCAGCGAACCATTCACCAGTCAATGGCAGACCGGGCTGGCGCAGGCCCTTGCTCCAGTCGCATCTCTGGTAGTCCTTTCCGTCCGTCTCTAGAACAATTTTCGGGCGTGCCAGCTCCCACGGGTGGTCTCTGTAGAAGGTCGTTCGCAGCGCATCTTCCTCGTGCACTATCCTCGGCGGCTTGTAGATGTTGCGCGGCTTGCGCTGCTTGGAGCTGGCGGGGGCGTCGTAGTTGGTGATCGGCCTCGTGAGCGACTCGGCGGGCGGGATGTCGCGCATGGCCTGGAACCATGGCGGCTCTTGGACGCGGTAGCCGGGGAGGACTCTGGATTTGATCTCTAGGCCCATGGCCTGGTAGACCCTTGCGGGCCGGATTTGTCGACCCATGGTGGCCTGCGAAAGGTGTCAGTAAGAGACCTACAAACGTGAATCGCCAATTGAGACGTACTAATTTGTTCAGGAAGTTTGCTGTCGAGACCCCGGGCCAGACTCGATGCTACAAAGCTCCAATTGCGAATTGAGGTCCAGAGTGCAGCTCAGAATTTTGGAGCGGTCGGCCAATCCTAACGCCGTGGCCGGCCGGCACGGCCCCACCCTCTGCGAAACAATTCCCAATCCAATCATCCTGGAGCTTTTGGTCAACCAGCTCAAGCTTCTTAACCTTGCGGTTGGCCTTTTTCCCTCGCCTCTCCGCTCCTCCTGTCTTCCCAACTGACCGCCGTCTCGCGCTCTTGGATGGGACGGTGACTCTCTGGGCCGCAATGCACGACAGCCCATGAAAGCTCTCAGCCGGATTGACGGGTCCTTATGCGGCGCGATCCTCTCGACTCGACCCTCTGCCACCCGAGCAGCTGCAGTTTCTTTACGCCCCGAGCTCCGAGACGAAACAAGACCTCCGAGGGCGCCGGCTGCTCCCCGTTGCCGTCGTGATCTCCACAGACATGCTCGCACACACGGAGCGCACTGCCCGCAGACGGCCTCGTGGCTGCTGTCCACCTTCTTGCCGGCGCCCTCCAGACGGCCGCGATCCGCCCCTCCCCACGAAGCCCTGCCCTGCCGCCAACGGGTACAGCGATACAGCAATGCCGCTGCCGCCGCTTCGGACCCCGAGTCCGAATCGAGCACGAAGGTGGTTCTGAGCAAGACGCAACAGAGAAAACTTTTGCATTTCGTCGGCAATGCCGATATACGCAACGCGGGGACGGTGGAGGAACACCTGGAACTCGCACGGGACCCATACTTGAACCGATACGCCCAGCCCGAGCCCTCCAAAATCGAAATCAGCGACAGGGAGGCGGACAATCGGTATCCATCATTACAGCAAGCAGTCCGCGACGACAAAAGCCTAGGTGAGCTGCTGCAGAGGCTTAACGAGGCTGTGAACGTAAGGCTGTGGCATCCTAGTAGGGTAAGCCTGGACGCCATATACGACTTGTACTTGACGCTGCCGGAGCCGAGGATGATTCAGATGCCAGCACACTTGCGACATCGGTTGCTCAAAGCGTTCGGCACACCAGTGAGGAGAAATTCAAAGTCGATGCTGCGCTACTTTTCCCTCATCGGGGAGGTCAAGGATAGTGGTATCCCGTTGCGACGCAGCGAGTGGAACTTTGCTCTGTCGCTAGCAAGCCGATATGTCGGTCTCACGACCACAACGGAGACCGAGCATACCCTGCAAATATGGAAGGAGATGGAGAGGGATGCCGGAGTACAAGGCAACGACGTCACATTCAACATTCTCTTCGACTCTGCTTCCAAGTCTGGCAATTTTGAGCTGGCGGAGATGATATACAAGGAGATGCGGTCCCGGAATATCGAGTTCACCCGGTACCACCACGTCAGCTTGATACACTTTTTCGGCCTTCAAGGGGACGGGGACGGCGTACGGGCCGCGTACAAAGAGATGGTTGAGGACGGCGAGCTCGTGGACTCGACTGTTCTCAACTGCGTGATAGCGAGTTTCCTGCGATGCGGCGAGGAGGCCGCAGCCCACAGGGTCTACAAGCACATGAAGCAGGCACACTCCAAGGCGGCCCACTTCCCCGACCGGCACTGGCACACGAATGGCATGATCCTTCAGGTTCTCAAGATGTTCACAACGATTTCCAAGAAAGTCCCGGAGATGCGGCCGCAGCTGCAGGAGCTCTCGGATATGAGGCCGGATCTGCACACTTACAAAGTCCTCATCAGTCACTACGGGACCAAGGGAGGCAACCTCGAGAGGATTGCGCAGTACCTGGACGAGATGAAGACGTACCAAATCCCCGTACATGGAAGCATCTTCATCATGTTATTCAAGGCGTTTGTGACTCACGGCGGTGTTTTCGAGAGCGAATGGAGTCCGAGGCGTTTGAATGCCGTGTTTCAATCGCTTCTGACGGCTCTCGATAACACACCCTGGCAGAGCCAGGCGAACGACGCACACGAGGGTATCTATCTCGACACATGGCTCGTGATCTGGGCTCTCCGCGCCTACAGAAAGTGTAACAAAAGCCACCAAGCAGTGCTGGATGTGTACGATCAACTGAAGTCGAGATGGCTACTGGGTGAGGATCAGGCCCAGTTCCTGGACTCCTACGTCAGCCTTTTGCTCGCTGGAAAGGATCATACAGTGTTCCCGAAATTCGTCCCGAAGCCCAAGTCCATTAGGCATCGGCGCGTGTAAACATTACAACTATAGACCATGATACCAATAACTGTAAAATATGATTTCACATCTACCTACCTTGGCATGCAATCTAGCAGGTGGTCGTGGCATTGTGCGAGGTTCAGTAGCCAACTCGCAGGATCGTAATATGAGATCATCAGAGCGCGGGGTTGCAGTCACTTGCAGAAACATATTGGTGTAAAAGGTGGTGAAAAGGAATCGCTGAGGGCGAAATGCTCTATTTCTGCTCATGTACAAAGCCGCCCCCGGGTCCAACTCATTCCATGGTGTACACTCGCGATCGACTCAAGAAAAAAGCGATTGTGCCCATTTAAACCTTGGGCTTGTAAGTTTGCCAGGCTGTCCCCTCGTTAGCAAGCACTTTCGATATCGGTTCGGCAGAAGCCGGAGGGGCGGAAAAAAGGACGCACCAGCGATGCCGAAGGGGGCGAAGAAGCCGACGGCGGAGTAGGTCCAGAAACCGGCGCCGAACCACTTGGACTTGGGGTTGAAGGGGATGTTGGAGTAGGGGCCCTCGGGGTAGTGGTAGGGAGAGCTCATCTGGGCGCGGGTGGTGGTGAAGCCGCGGCGAGCGACAACGGTGCGAATCTGGGGGACCGCGCGGGCAGCGGCACGGGCGAGCATCTACGGGCGGCAGGTCAGTATCAATTGGACGGCGCGAAGCTCGGGGGAGGCCGTGTGTACTTTGGCGGGTTGTTCTGAGGCGATCGCGACGCGCAATTGGGGGAGACAGAGGTTTCGTTACGGTGTTGAAGTCATTCAGAAGGGTGGTCTGAGGTGTGATCCGGCTAAGCTCCAAAGATCCTCAGGCCGGGACGCTATTAGGTAAGCACACGTGACCTTTCGCGGTGTGATGTCCAGTCCTGCGGTCGGGATTTGCAACTGGTAGGAGCGCGACCGCCTGCCGCCCTGAGCCATTGCCGATTTTTTTCTTTCCTTTTCTGCCTGATGGCCCACCCTCCAGGTGCACTGACCTCTAACTTTTTTTCCCTGGCACCTGTAGTTGCGATCGCAGCAGGCAAGATCGAGAGAGCTCCTTCTCGTCTCTCACCACTAACGCCGTTGTTGTCGTCGTCGTCGTCCACAGTCGTCGTCGTCTGCCATCGCTGCCATCCCTTTAAGACAATTGTTCTACCAGGATACCCATATTACCACTGTCAGTACGCTTGTCACCCCACCCAAGCCGCCCGCCATGGACGAGCTTTTTGACGTTTTCGACGCTCCTGCTGGGGCTCACGACGAGTCGCCCAGTGAGGCCGAGCCTGAGTCTCAGCCGCCTAAGTCGCGCAAGAAGGATAAGAAGAGCAAGAAGCGCAAGGCCGATGGCGAGATCAAGAATGGCGTCGCCCTTAAGCAGGAAGACGCGGACATGCCCGACGCCGACGAGACCTCTCGAGACGGAGAGGATGCCGATGATGCGGCTGCCACGTCCGACGACCAGCACGAGAGTCACAAGCGCCGAAAGAAGGAGGACGAAGCTCAGCCCGTCTTGACCGACACCTTCCAGACTGCCGAGTCCCGAGAGGTCGCCGGCGCAGCTACCTTCACCAAGGCCGAGGACGAATCTCTCGTCCTGTCCCACAACATTCAGCATCAGGTCGCCTTGCCTCCTGACCTGGACTACGAATACGTCCCTCTCTCAGAGCACAAGCCCCCGGCCGAGCCCGCGCGGAAATACAACTTTAAGCTCGATCCTTTCCAGGCGCTGTCCGTCGCTTCGATTGAGAGAGAGGAGAGTGTGCTGGTCTCTGCCCACACGTCCGCCGGAAAGACGGTTGTCGCCGAATACGCGATCGCCCAATGTTTGAAGCGAAACCAGCGCGTCATCTACACGAGTCCGATCAAGGCCCTTTCCAACCAAAAGTACCGAGACTTCGAAGCTCTGTTTGGCGACGTAGGCCTGATGACTGGTGATGTCACGATCAACCCCACCGCCAGTTGCCTCGTCATGACCACCGAGATTTTGCGCTCCATGTTGTACCGCGGTTCCGAGATCATGCGCGAAGTTGCCTGGGTCGTTTTCGACGAGATCCACTACATGAGAGATAAGACGAGAGGTGTGGTCTGGGAGGAGACGATCATTCTTCTTCCCGATAAGGTTCGCTACGTATTCCTGTCCGCCACCATCCCGAACGCCTTCCAGTTCGCCGAGTGGATTGCCAAGATCCACCACCAAGCGTGTCACGTCGTTTACACCGATTTCCGACCTACTCCTCTTCAGAACTACTTTTTCCCCTCTGGCGGCAACGGTATCTTTTTGGTGGTGGACGAGAAGGGTGTCTTCAGAGAAGGCAACTTCCAGAAGACTATGGCTTTGGTTGAGGCGGGCAAAGGCCAAGACCCTTCCAACGCGAACGCCAACTGGAAGGGCAAGGGTGCCAAGAAGAACACTCAAAAGGGTGGCCAGGCAGCCGACATGAAGTCCGACATCTCCAAGATCGTCAGAATGATCATGCAGAAGAGCTTCCACCCTGTCATCATCTTCAACTTCAGCAAGAAGGAGGTCGAGAATCTGGCCCTGAACATCTCTCACTTCCAGTTCAACAACGACTCCGAGCAGGCCATGGTCAAGACTGTCTTCAATAACGCTATTCAGAGCTTATCCGAAGCTGATCGTGAGCTCCCCCAGATCCAGAACTTGCTTCCTCTGCTGCAGAAGGGCATCGGTGTGCATCACTCCGGTCTTCTCCCCATCTTGAAGGAGACCATTGAGATTCTCTTCCAGGAGTCCCTTATCAAGGTCCTCGTTGCGACCGAGACATTCTCTATTGGTCTCAACATGCCTGCCAAGACTGTTGTCTTCACTCAAGTCACCAAATGGGACGGCGTCAAGCGAAGACCGTTGACCCCGTCAGAATACATCCAGATGTCTGGTCGCGCTGGTCGTAGAGGTCTGGATTCCCGTGGTATCGTCATCATGATGATCGACGACAAGATGGAGCCGGACACCGCACGCGCTATCGTTGTTGGTGAGCAGGACCGTCTCAACTCTGCTTTCTACCTCGGCTACAACATGATCCTCAACCTCCTCAGAATCGAGGCTATTTCTCCCGAATTCATGCTCGAGCGCTGCTTCCACCAGTTCCAGACCGGTGCCAGTGTTCCCGCTCTCGAGCGCGACCTGATGGCGCTCCAGCAGGAGAGGGACGCCATGTCCATTGCCGATGAGGCCACCGTCAAGGACTATTATAACTTGCGGAACCAACTCGAGCAATACACCAGCGACATGCGTGCCGTGATTCAGCACCCGGATTACTGCATAGACTTCATGCAGCCTGGCCGCCTGGTCAGAATTCACGACCCAAAGAAGACCAACACTACTCTGGGCGGCACCGATTACGGCTGGGGTGTTGTCTGTGACTTGGCAAAGCGTAAGGCGAACAAGCCTGGAGAACCCGAGTACCCCCCTCAAGAGACCTACTTCATCGACGTCATGATGTTCGTCGACCAGAAGAGCAAGCCGGCTCCTCAGGTAAATGAGCGCCCTTCGTCTGGCGACATGGCCCCCGGAATGATTCCTTGCGCCAAGCCCGACGAGCCTGGCGAAGGTGCACGCTTCGAGATCATTCCTTGCCTCTTGACCTGCATCAAGAACATCAGTCAAATCAGAATTTTCATGCCGAAGGAGCCGAAGAGCCAAGCGGGTATTGAGGCGGCCAGCAATGCTCTCAGAGAGGTTTGCAGAAGATTTCCTGACGGAGTGCCTAGCCTCGACCCGATCGAGAACATGGGCATCACCGACGACTCCTTCAGATCTCTTATGAGGAAAATTGAGATGTTGGAGGCGCGTCTGATCACCAACCCTCTCCACGGATCTCCCCTACTCCCCGAGCTCTACCTGCAGTATCGTGCCAAGGAGAAGCTGGGCGAGCAAATCAAGGCCAAGAAGAAGGAGATTGCGAGACTTCACAGCATTGCTCAGATGGATGAGCTCAAGGGGCGCAAGCGTGTCCTGCGCCGTCTTGGTTTCCTCAACGAGAACGAGGTCGTTGAGCTCAAGGCCCGTGTGGCCTGCGAAATTTCATCCACTGAGGGTCACGAACTTGTTCTGGCTGAACTCCTATTCGACCGTTTCTTCAACGAACTCTCCCCGGAGATGATCGCATCCGTTCTCAGCTGCTTCGTCCTTGACGAGAAGCTTGAGACCGCAGCCCTCCGCGAGGAACTGGCCAAGCCCTACCGCGAGGTACAGGCCAAGGCGAAGCAGGTCGCCAAGGTTAGCAGAGAGAGCAAGCTTGAGCTCAACGAGGATGAATACCTGGCTGGATTCAAGTGGCAGTTGATGGAGACTGTATACTCATGGGCCCAGGGCAAGCCATTCGCAGATATTTGGTATGTAATCCCACCCGAGCAATATGATTTACGCACTAACACCACCACCACCACCAGCAAAATGACCAACGCGTACGAAGGATCCCTGATCCGTCTCTTCCGCCGTCTGGAAGAGCTCATGCGCCAGATGGGTCAGGGTGCCAAGGTTATGGGTAGCGAGGAGCTCTGTCAAAAGTTCGAGGACAGTCTGGCCAAGGTCCGCCGCGACATTGTTGCCGCCCAGAGCTTGTACCTCTAAAAGGTTTGTTTCGGCTTCGTCTCCCATTGTTTCAGCAGCTTAGTCTACTCTAGCATTGTCGTTTGTTTATGTAGCCTCGGGGGTTCCAAAAAGGCGTTGGCGGTTTAGGTTTATACCACGTAGAATCTTTGTGTGCGCGGATACGGGGTTGTAAGAGGCTTGCAAGACAGTCCTTACTCCATGGCCACCAATGAAGCAGAGTAATGGCCCTTTTTTGCTCCACCTATTTGTGTGATCGTGTCGAGACCGCCCATATGGGGTTCAGACATACTGCTACATCGCTAGTATTATCGTCGTCATCACTGTTGCTTTCGCTGTCGGTATTGTTATCGTTATCGTTATCGTCTCTCGTCGTCGTCCCTTGCCCACGTCGTCCCTTGTCGTCGTCGTCGCTGTCGCCTCTATTTTTATCATCCTTCTACTGCTGTCCTTAACCGGAGCAAGTCAGGGGCTACACAGAAAATATAGTCACGCAGACACAGGGAGATCAGGCAGTCTCATCATGTCCTGTTTTCGCCTCCGTCCTGCAATGCCCTGGTATCGTAAAGCCACAACCTAACGCCGTACCTAAAAGCATGTCCTTCACCAATCCCGTGCCCTCACCGGTCTCCCGAAAATGCTCTGATCACGCCAATAATGATGCTCAAAGTCACGCCGAACCCGATGAAATCCTGCCAGCGTCCAGAAAGCATGCTTCCCTCCCTCGAAAGCCATCCAAGACACCCGAGCGGCCAAAAGAACCCAACAATCATGCCCTCAATCAGCACGTCCAAAACCCCGCTCATCACGCCAAACGCATCGTCGCCGCCGCCGTCGTCTCCGCCCTCGCCGCCCGCACCCGCGCCGCCCGGCAGCGCGCCCTGGGCGTTCGTGTCGATCCACGCGTCCTCCATCGAGCGCATCGTGTCCGGGCTCGGCATCGTGTCGGGGGTGTACTGCGCGGCGCGGATCTCGCGGAACTGCAGGCGCAGCGCGTTCACCTCGGCGGCGGTGAAGCCCGCGTTGAGCAGCCTGTCGAAGCCGCGGGGCGTCGGGCGTTGCTGAGCCTGCGGGTGGCTGCTCCCGCCGGGGGACGAGCCATGGCCGTCGGGTGCGTTTGTGCCGGAGGTGGAGTTGGGCTGGGCGGAGGGCGCGAGGAGGGCGGCCTCTGCCTCGGCGGCGAGCTCGGCGTCGGTGAGGCTGTCGCCGATGCTGCAGTTGACATAGACGCGCGGCGGGGCGGCGTCGTGGGCTTTTGCTTTGCCCTTGCCCTTTGGGTCGTCTGCGGAGCCGCCGCCTGGGAAGGAGGGTGTTGTCGGGGTGCCGGAGGTTGAGGAGGGCGGCGGCGGGAGGGGTCTGAGGACGGAGGAGAGGGCGGACGCGTCGGGGAGGATCTTGCCTTGGTGGATGAAGCGGAGGCGGCGCTGGGAGTCTGGCTGGGCGAGGCGGGAGCGGATGAGGTGTTTGAGGGCGGCGACTGTTGTTTGGGAGGGGGAGGGGATGTCGAGGTCGAGGTCGGGGAGGGAGGTTGTGAAGCGGATTCGGAGGAGGAGGGGGGGTGTCCAGGGGCGTGGTGTTGTCATTGTCGCATTGTTGATTTGGTGAGCTTGAGGAGGTTGAGGAGGTTGTGGTTTTGTGCTGGGTGATGTTGGAGCTGCGGGATGGATGGAGAGCTGTTGGACCCTGGAATGGGATGACATCGCAGGAGCTTATCGATATGCATATATCGGGCGTATGACATAATACGGTCTTTGACTCGACTGACATTCTGACAGATCATCAGTATGGCCAATAGCAGCATAATGAATGTGGGATAAAAGTTGGTTGTATTGCTTAGTGTAATCTGCTGGTCCTGCAGTAGATCTATATAAACGATTGGCGTATATCCCTTGTAAGGCAATCCTGGCC